TTTAGTAAGAATTATAATCCTTTAAAGAACCAAGATTAATGGTTCTTGTTAATAAGCTACGACTACTTCTATTTAGTAGATTTAGCCTTAAGACAATTCCTTCTTTTTCTTTCATTTCCCCCTTTTTCCCGGCTACCAATAATTAATCAAAATTTGAAATTGACTTCTTCTTTTCGTCTTAGCCGTGATGAATATCTAATTACAACTGGTTGGTTTGTCGGTCGATTTGTGGTTGGGGGCATCGTCGGTCCGCTTTGGGGGCGATTTATTACGACAGATCGGCGCGAAAGTCGACGCGATTTATCGATCCGTGCGAATAATTACGCGCTAAGGGCCATACACATTCCAATATTAATTGAATGCCGCACTTACCACAGTCGCCGCCGCCAACAAACGGCGTGGGCCCCACTTTTGATATCTGTCCCGATGAAAATTAATTGGCCCAACGAGAGAATAAACGAGATCTTATTGTAGATAGAATAATAACAGATCAAAAACAGAGAAAATTTTAAATCAACTCCGTCTCGAATAACACCCCTTTAGTTGTTCGTTTTTTGACTCCAAACTTCCTCCGATGCGTGTGCACACTTCATATCTCCCAAAGTCTTACAAAATACGGCCATATATCGCCGATGAGGGCGAACAAGAACCCTCCAAGCTGTAAACATCGATACTTTCTAGACTCAAACAAAATTTTCTTTCTTTTCTCTCATAAGAATCCCGTGTGAGTCATGTTTCGAGCACGGAGAGGGCACGATAAAGTGAATTTATCGGCCTGCCAACGGTTAACGAGGCCAGATTAATATTTCTATTCTTTCGGTCCAGCCACGTCGGGTCATGGGTTTGGGCGCGTTGGCGGGCTGCGTTTCGGGGTGTGTAACCACCGTGCGCCNGGAAGCCGTATTTATTGAAATTAAGGAATGAAACTTATTTTAAATTAAAGCTCAAAGCTTTCTCTTTAAAATGATGTATAATAATGGTTGGGTTGGATTGGAAAAATATAGAGAAAAAAAATGTTGAAATAAAACTTACATTTTCGTATAACCTAAAAGTGCCAAAAAACATGCTAATTTAAAAATTCCTGGAAGCCATATTTATTGAAATTAAGGAATGAGACTTATTCTAAATTAAAGCTCAAAGCTTTCTCTTTTAAACGCTGTATAAAATAATCGTTGGGTTGGATTAAAAAAATATTGAGTAAAAATGTATTGAGTTAAAACTAATATTTTCGCATAACTTGAAAGTGTCAAAAAGATGATAATTTAAAAATAGTAATAGAAAACTAGGTACTAAACTACTACTTGCACAAGACTACATACTGCTGGTAGAAGTTTAGATAATTAGATAATAGTCTATATAAGAGTTATGTAGATAATGCTAATATATACGTAAACACTGGTAATAAATAAAGCTAAGGTTTGTTCCAGTTTCATCGTTTCAGTTTTAAATGTTAATCAAAAATCTGTATTACAGCTTAAACGATGTTTTATTTTAAATGTTTTTTNCGTATTTATTGAAATTAAGGAATGAAACTTATTTTAAATTAAAGCTCAAAGCTTTCTCTTTAAAATGATGTATAATAATTGATGGGTTGGATTGGAAAAATATTAAGAAAAAAAATTTTGAAATAAAACTTACATTTTCGTACAACCTAAAAGTGTCGAAAAAGATGCTAATTTAAAAATTCCTGGAATCCGTATTTATTGAAATTAAGGAATGAACCTTATTCTAAATTAAAGCTCAAAGCTTTCTCTTTAAAATTATGTATAATAATTGTTGGGTTGGATTAGAAAAATATTGAGAAAAAATGTATTGAGTTAAAACTAACATTTTCGCATAACCTGAAAGTGTCAAAAAGATGATAATTTAAAAATAGTAATTCTACTGCTGGTAGAAGTTTAGATAATTAGATAATAGTCTATATAAGAGTAGGTAATGCTAATAAACGCGTAAACATTGGTAATAAAAGCTGCTGACAGAAGTTTAACTAATATTATTGGAATTATTTGGATATTACAAATAAAAGAGTAGATACTGCTTGTTGTAGAGTATTTACTAATGATAAAAAGCTGTATCTAGTTGGTAGATGAGGCAGCTCGCAAAACAAAAAAAGANAAGAATTATATCTTAAATTGTTCAAATCCACTGAAATGATAGGTGCCGTAATATTCTGGACCAATTAATTCCATCTTTTGTATAGAGACTTAGGACTCTAGGATATGTATCTAACCTCAGCGACTGCCATGGGAATAATCAAAAGAAATTAACTTGAAATTAGGAAGTTAGTATGTTCTGGAACAAAAATACGTGCGAAATCCTCATCAAATATTTCCAATATAGAGAAGAATGCTAGTACATGGCTTGAAGACGGAGAGCTAGTTCATCTTTCAACTAATCTTTAATTCCAGAATATATAAATCCTACCTTATAAGCATGAATGTCTCAATCAGATCAGATTTTATAGTTTAGTATGCGTATTCATACGCGATTTATCTGGAAACCAGGTTTTGCAGGATTTTTTGCAAGATTTCGATTGAACAGAATTTCTGATCAATTTAATTTGAATTACAAAAAAAAAATTATATTTGACACTGTATATTTCTGAGTATACAGAAGTTGAGCAGAATTTCTGATCACTTTACACAAATTAGAAAAAAAACTATTTTTGACACTATATATTTCTTTGGAAAACAGTTTTGAAACCATTTTTACTTACAAGAATTAAATTCGCATTAAAAAAATTTCTCAGAAAGATTATTGTTTATTTTTGATTGAATTTTTGTGGGTTCTTAAAGTATGTAACTGTAGGGGTCCGACCGAAAACGATGACAAGAGACAAGATACCCCGATAATGTTCCTATTCACTTATGATTGTCTCGAAAAGTAATTTATTTTGGCATTTATTGCGCTATATAAATTTCAATAAGGCTTAAACAAAAAAAGAAAAGCTGTCATGTAACCATTTTTGATGGTGATTTATGAACTGTTTGTACTGAAACTTTTTTACATCAATCCTCCACATCTCTTCAAAGAAACTATGAATTGTCTCTTCTTTAGAATTATCCGTCTGTTTAGTAAGAATTATAATCCTTTAAAGAACCAAGATTAATGGTTCTTGTTAATAAGCTACGACTACTTCTATTTAGTAGATTTAGCCTTAAGACAATTCCGTCTTTTTCTTTCATTTCCCCCTTTTTTCCCGGCTACCAATAATTAATCAAAATTTGAAATTGACTTCTTCTTTTCGTCTTAGCCGTGATGAATATCTAATTACAACTGGTTGGTTTGTCGGTCGATTTGTGGTTGGGGGCATCGTCGGTCCGCTTTGGGGGCGATTTATTACGACAGATCGGCGCGAAAGTCGACGCGATTTATCGATCCGTGCGAATAATTACGCGCTAAGGGCCATACACATTCCAATATTAATTGAATGCCGCACTTACCACAGTCGCCGCCGCCAACAAACGGCGTGGGCCCCACTTTTGATATCTGTCCCGATGAAAATTAATTGGCCCAACGAGAGAATAAACGAGATCTTATTGTAGATAGAATAATAACAGATCAAAAACAGAGAAAATTTTAAATCAACTCCGTCTCGAATAACACCCCTTTAGTTGTTCGTTTTTTGACTCCAAACTTCCTCCGATGCGTGTGCACACTTCATATCTCCCAAAGTCTTACAAAATACGGCCATATATCGCCGATGAGGGCGAACAAGAACCCTCCAAGCTGTAAACATCGATACTTTCTAGACTCAAACAAAATTTTCTTTCTTTTCTCTCATAAGAATCCCGTGTGAGTCATGTTTCGAGCACGGAGAGGGCACGATAAAGTGAATTTATCGGCCTGCCAACGGTTAACGAGGCCAGATTAATATTTCTATTCTTTCGGTCCAGCCACGTCGGGTCATGGGTTTGGGCGCGTTGGCGGGCTGCGTTTCGGGGTGTGTAACCACCGTGCGCCGCGAACACGTCCGGACATCTGTAGTTTCTTCAACGAACAGGATCGCAAAGTGACGGGACCACACTCGAACTTACCGAGAAGAACCTTCGGACCATGTTACAAGATCATCTTACACAACAACATTACGAATTACGGTTTCATAAACAATCAGTTTAAGAGTTAAACTTTCTCTTTTTAATAAGATAACTTATTAAACACTTTTTGAGGCAATATTAAAGACTCACCTCTTTTAATGGAACCTTAAAAGGAATGAATTTCGTTCCTGGTACTTGTTCCCCCATGATTGAGTATAAATCCCAGCTAAAAAAATAAAATTTGTTAAAAATTTGAATTTTAAAGCGCCATCTAGTTTAAAATAAGTTAACTAAAATAATATCGATAAAAACGAAAACTGTAATAATTATTGAATAAATTAATTTTTATTTACATTTTATGATCTTTAAATAAACGTGATTACATAACTTTATTAATTACTTTATTAACTTAATTAATAAATACTTATTTAATTTCGATAAAAATGTTGAAATTAATATTTGTTTGTGATTTTGAGGTTATGTTAAAACGTTGTATTAATTCTAAAAAAATCTAAAATTTATGGTGTAAATTGCTTACCCTTCTGGTAAATCCTTCTTCTTAGGCATTTTTAAATAAACTTGTATAAGTTTCACAGAAAACTAAGTTATAAAATCCCTCCAAAACACAAAACGTAAACTGATGCGTCAAAAAAAAACTATGCATGTGGTTCAATACTTTTTTCATAGGTGGCGCACTTTATATTACTAAACTTTGAAAATAAAGTTAAAATTAATTTTTAAATATAAAGGGATGTTAAAAATTTAAAAAAAACTGATGAAATAAGATATTTTGAAAATGTATTCATTAAAATTGTTGAGAAAGATTTGTAATGAAGATAGCAACGTATTATAATATGAAGTTGTTTTTTATTATTTATTATTAATTATTGACCCACCTTGCAAAAATAAAGATGAAAAAAGGAGTTAAACGTAAATAAAAATCGTTATTAATAACCTTTTTCTAATTAATCTTTATTTATAATCAAATAATTCAAGCTGTCAAATATGTCAAATTGACAAATATACATATGAAAGAATTAATATTATTACAAAATAACTCAAAATTTATTAATTAGAATAAGTATCTTTGTATGGAAATTATAAATAACATTTTAATTCCAACTAAATAAATAAATCAAGAAAAAAATTAACTAGGTTTACAATTATTAGGATCAATATCCCCACTTTTCGATTCAACCTTTTTCACCTCTTCATAAACCGCCTTTTCCATCAAAACCACCTCTTTCGGCTTTTTATACTAAAAAAAACTCAGTTAAATATAAACAGCAAAAACATTCCAAAACCTACCGTAATAATCAAAGTATTATATTTATGAGTAAACTGAATACTCTCTTGATTCGGTACAGCACCGGCCCTAACCAATTCGGGTACAACCAAAACTTTAAAATACTTCTTATTGCTTGTTCTTACAACCAAACTTTTCGTTTCTGGATCAGCAGATACGGAATAAACTTCTAAAGGATATGGTAAATTTCTAATTCTCCATTCTAAGCTGTTTTTGGTGATCCTTCTTGAGATGATTGGTTGGTTGTTGTTTTCACGGATTACGAACCCTTCCTTTTTTAATGCTGAAGGTTCAGGATCTCCAATTTCAACATCCCAATCACCTTCACCTCCTAAATGCGTTTTTCTTCGCCAAGCTCTTCGCGTTAACACCTCCGTATCAGTGTTGTACTCTTCAACGAGCTCCACATCTTTAGTAAATTCGTAATGAACTTTTTTGAGATTTCCTTGCGATATTGAGGACTTTTTTGATGATTTTATTTTCGATAACCAATCTGACATATTGAGGTTATGTTGTATTATTGATATTATTATTAATAAAGATAAATAATTTATATTTGGCTTTTTGTGGTTTGTATTAATTAAATTTATGATTATTTATGTTATTGATTATGTTGGGGGTGAATTTGTGAAGTGGAAAAGAAGTTTGTTTGGCGTATCTAGGTTATGTTTAGTCGATTAAAATGTAAATAATTTTTTATTTTTTGGCGGATTTTTCAAATTAAATAATTAATTTTGTGGTACAGGGCATTTTTTATTTATTGATTTCTCTTTTCCAAATATAAATAATGAATAGCCTATAAAATCTAACTTTTTAAGGTTAAAGTTGTCCGGAAAGAACCAAAATCAATTTTCTTTTAACTGTTTAATTTTAAACGCTAATTAAAACGTTAAGGGTATTCTTGAATATGTAAAAATACATCTATTTGGTGTATAAATATATCATTAAACATCATTAAAATACTTAACAAGTTTTAAACAATTTTTTGTATTTTACTTGGCCCAACAACATTAAATCTTTTAAATATTAACTTCTCTACCTAAACACAGCCCTTTTCTTTACATTTTAAGTCAAATATAGCAACAAAAACCTTCATTACCCTGTACATAGTTTTATTAAAACTAACTTTACTTATTTATTGTTAAAAAAAGGATGTAGAAGTTAATTTAAACAGCTTTTTTTATAAAAATAACAAAAAAACTATGTACTTATTAACATATTTCAACCTTAAACGAAAAAGCTCTAAACCTAACCTTTATCACAAACTGAACACAACTCTAGTATATAAAATAATATTTTCTGTGATTTAAATGGGTAAAAAGCTGCCCCACTCCCAATTTCAACCTATTAATCAAATTTGCCAAGTAAAATACGATTAACATTAAATTTAGTTTTAGATATTTTATTGATAAAAACTTTTCAGCGTTTTTATTTTTTCAAGGCAAGATTTGAACAGATTATTTACAATTTCCTTTCAATTTAAGCCCAAATTAATGTGGATTTGATTCATAAGTTTATTTTCTAATAGGAACTATTTTTATCAATAAATTATGATAACCGTAAATTTAACTTAATATCTATTTAAAATGTAAAATGTAATGCAAATATTGAATGAAATTGCTCAAAAATATGGCACAAATAAATATGTTACTTATTTCTTTTCAAGGTTCATAAAGAAATGGCTTCAGTTTTAGGTTATTTTTGCACTACATTTCTTTTTGATTCATTAAAACCATTTTAATCAAATCTAGTCTAATTACATATTAATTAAACCTAATTAATATCACCCTCAAAACGACAAAAACAATTTAACAAAGTATTTATATAAAAAAAATCTTTTCCTTCTACAATAATATTATCATAATAATAAATTAGTATTTTAAATAACTAAAACAAATCGTATCTAAACAAAACTAAAATAAACTATAATTCTTAATGAATTGTAATTATTGATTAACAAGTTAAAATTAAAGCATTAATAAGTTTTTAAATCTTTTTGGTACATGCCTAAAATAGCATGGAGATTCCTTTATAACTTAATGATTTAATAATTTGGTCGTATCTCTATTTATCTTAACATTTAAATTTCTTCCAAACCTCCATTTGGTACTCCACCTTTTACATGATCGAGGATTTTATTAACATAATCGGTTGTGTGTCCAGCTATTCTTGTTCCTTAAAAACAACAACATTATACGCTAATTTAAAAGTTCCTGGAAGCTGTATTTATTGAAATTAAGGAATGAAACTTATTTTAAATTAAAGCTCAAAGCTTTCTCTTTAAAATGATCTATAATAATTGTTGGGTTGGATTGGAAAAATATTGACAAAAAAAATGTTGAAACAAAACTTACATTTTCGTATAACCTAAAAGTGTCAAAAAAGATGGTAATTTAAAAATTCCTGGAAGCCGTATTTATTGAAATTAAGGAATGA